GCACTGGCTCGGTTTGGAAATGGATGTGGAAGTGATTGCTTGTGTGTGGCTCCTCTATCGTCGCTATAAAAGACGACGGCGGCCCTGTACACACTAGGCGTTTGACGAGCGTTTAGCGGAGCGTGCGCACTGGCTCGGTTTGGAAATGGATGTGGAAGTGATTGCTTGTGTGTGGCTCCTCTATCGTCGCTATAAAAGACGACGGCGGCCCTGTACACACTAGGCGTTTGACGAGCGTTTAGCGGAGCGTGCGCACTGGCTCGGTTTGGAAATGGATGTGGAAGTGATTGCTTGTGTGTGGCTCCTCTATCGTCGCTATAAAAGACGACGGCGGCCCTGTACACACTAGGCGTTTGACGAGCGTTTAGCGGAGCGTGCGCACTGGCTCGGTTTGGAAATGGATGTGGAAGTGATTGCTTGTGTGTGGCTCCTCTATCGTCGCTATAAAAGACGACGGCGGCCCTGTACACACTAGGCGTTTGACGAGCGTTTAGCGGAGCGTGCGCACTGGCTCGGTTTGGAAATGGATGTGGAAGTGATTGCTTGTGTGTGGCTCCTCTATCGTCGCTATAAAAGACGACGGCGGCCCTGTACACACTAGGCGTTTGACGAGCGTTTAGCGGAGCGTGCGCACTGGCTCGGTTTGGAAATGGATGTGGAAGTGATTGCTTGTGTGTGGCTCCTCTATCGTCGCTATAAAAGACGACGGCGGCCCTGTACACACTAGGCGTTTGACGAGCGTTTAGCGGAGCGTGCGCACTGGCTCGGTTTGGAAATGGATGTGGAAGTGATTGCTTGTGTGTGGCTCCTCTATCGTCGCTATAAAAGACGACGGCGGCCCTGTACACACTAGGCGTTTGACGAGCGTTTAGCGGAGCGTGCGCACTGGCTCGGTTTGGAAATGGATGTGGAAGTGATTGCTTGTGTGTGGCTCCTCTATCGTCGCTATAAAAGACGACGGCGGCCCTGTACACACTAGGCGTTTGACGAGCGTTTAGCGGAGCGTGCGCACTGGCTCGGTTTGGAAATGGATGTGGAAGTGATTGCTTGTGTGTGGCTCCTCTATCGTCGCTATAAAAGACGACGGCGGCCCTGTACACACTAGGCGTTTGACGAGCGTTTAGCGGAGCGTGCGCACTGGCTCGGTTTGGAAATGGATGTGGAAGTGATTGCTTGTGTGTGGCTCCTCTATCGTCGCTATAAAAGACGACGGCGGCCCTGTACACACTAGGCGTTTGACGAGCGTTTAGCGGAGCGTGCGCACTGGCTCGGTTTGGAAATGGATGTGGAAGTGATTGCTTGTGTGTGGCTCCTCTATCGTCGCTATAAAAGACGACGGCGGCCCTGTACACACTAGGCGTTTGACGAGCGTTTAGCGGAGCGTNTGTGGGTGTAGTTATGATACCTTGTTTACAATTCACTAAAATGTAATTGGGGTTCCATAATACCACCTTCTCCTCTACATTTGAATTTAACGAAGCAATAATTACACTAAAGCCAATAAATTGTCTTTGATATTATGTGTATTTATTGAATTTCAAACAGAAAAATTGCTTTTTACATCCGGGGGATCATTGATACTTCCGTAAAGTCCAGATATCGATCCATTAATACGTGGTATATAACTGTCTGAAAAAGTAATTTTAATAATTTAAACGAGAACATTTTTATAAATTAAGCTATTGCATTATATTGTATCTCAGGACTGAATCAAGTGTTAAAAGTTGGCAGGATTATTTCTATATATGGAGTGTTGATACTGATAAATTTTGGTAGTTAAAGGTCAATGGCGTGTAGAGATAGAGATCATAGGTCATATCTCGAGTGGGGTCAGACTTAATGAAAATTTTATTCGTTACTGGCATTAATTTTTAAAAACTCACTTCACCCCTAAAATAAGGCCTTTGTTTAATAATAATGATGATTACTTTTTACCAAAATCTCATAACAGATCGCGCCAAACATATATATATTTTTTTCATTTAAACTTAATCTCCTGTTCGAGAACCGGAAAAGTCATGCCAATTTTTGAATACAAATGCGATAAGTATATATTATCATTTTACTTTTTTAAATATTACTTTATCTCTATGAAATTTTATTTAAATTCGTAAAAAGGAATAAAAATTATAATAAATTTACATCAAGAAAATAAAAAAAATCGAATAACAAACCTGAATTCCTAAAATGATGCTAATGTACCAAGGAGGTACATCATCGACACCATAATGAAGATTGGATTTAGAAGATGATTTGTCGTTTTCTTTCTTACTTATCTGAAACATTAATTATAAAATTAACAAAAAACTAAAAACAAATATACAAAATAGTAATAACACTAAAAAGCTAAAATGTTTGTTTTTTACAATGAAACATGAATAATGAGAAAATGACAAGTTTCTTATATGCAAAGAGAATGTTCTTATGCATATAAATTGATACAAATTATCAATAAAAGATGGCTTATTTTTTAGATTAGTGCAAGTTTAGTACTTTCACTATGATGACCGAGGTGATAGTCATCATCTTTCCTCTCTAGAGATCCTGATTCGATAGTCCAGCAACCTCAGAAATTTTCAGTTATGTCGGGCCTCTCCCTCATTACCCTGATGAGGGATCAGCCATGGTATGCCTAGCCAAACCACCATAAGCATGGAAAAAGGCCCTCTTAGTGTCGACTGGGAGAAAAGAGATTTTTTAAAATAATTTTTGTATGCAGGGTGGGTGAAAAGTAACTAAGCATTGAGAAACCGCTATAATTTTTGTAGTAGTAATGTAATCACGATAAAATTTATGTCTACAGCCACAGCAATTAATTAAATTTTATAATTATTGAATTATAAAATTTACGTGGGCATCGGTTATGTGGACAGTGACCGAAAGACACGCAGTGGCAAAAAAAAATGGCCGACCACGTCTGTCCAGATTGCTGCAGGTTATGACGTGTAGAAATCAGCGGTTGCAGTGCAGATATAATGGCGTATGGCGAAGGGACGTCGTGCCACAATTCGTCCGGAAACAATCCCGAATTGTCACTCGAAACTAACGACCCCCAGTTCGGTTGTGAACTTACCAAGTAGCAGTTGTCCATCCAAATCACGCTCCCCGATCGTTTCAGGAAGTCGGTGGATGGTGCTGATGCCTAAATTGAATTATAAGGTATGCACGCGTATTTTAATTTAATAAGATAGATATCAAATTATTTATCATCATCTTTGCCTTATAAATATAGAAATTATAGAGATATCTCAATGCCTAGTTACTTTCCTCCCTCCCTATATTCTATTAAGCTGTCAAAAATGTAATTTACATACTTCGAGGCATTCCGATGCTGCTAGAACATTTCGCTGCATTTCGTTGTGCTAAAAAAGAAAAATGGATATAAATGAAGACTATTTTGCATTTTATTAAACGAAAATTTAATTTTCTTTTAGACAAAAAATTTGTTCTCTGTTAAAATCATCATTATAGTTTGTGCACGACGTATTTTACGTTATAAAAACGTCCGTTATAACTTTATGCATAACGTACCGATATACGCATTAAAAAAGTTTCACGTTAGAAGTTTATTTTATAAAATTTCAGACTAATCATATTTGATTTTTTATTGAAGTTACGCGTTGTCATCGTACGCACGGCCACATAAGAACGCGCTTGGTGTTTGTCGGACATATTGTTTTTGCAATCTCGCTTTTAGTTGTCTATTAATTATTTCATTGTTAATATGACTACATAATCTTTGATATCTTCAGAAGAAAACAAAGACCTTCAATGGCGTCCATGTTTGTTATATTTTTACAACATAACGGGCTTGGATGCGCATACGCCATCTAACTTTATTCGTTTATAATTCTAACGTCCGGTAAATATAACATAAAATACGTCGCGTCTATCACCATTCGTTCGTAATAAGATTAGGCTATTTGTTTATTGTAATGAATACTTATTTCACAATAAAAAAGTCAATAGCAGAATAACAAAATGGCAAATATAAAAGTGAATCTAAAAATCTAACAACGAATTGCGTAACTTTCCCTGCAAAAACATTTAAAACTGTGTGTGGCACCATCTGTTACGATACTTTATTTTTAAAACTTTTTATATTAATTATTATAAAATGGCAAAAAGTTTAATTTTGAGAGTAGAAGTGAGTTTTATATAAAAAAAAAATTATAAATGCTTTTTTAAGGAATAAAATCTCTGTTTTTAAACAACAAACTTCGCAAGGAAGTAACTACAGCTTATTCGAAAATTTATTTACGAATTATACCTCTGTCATATCCGAATTATTTGTCACAAATCGATAAAATGATCCCCCTTTCATCCTAACAACCAACTTTCGCTTTAACGAGGAATGGCGAAAAGATGCCTATTCAATGGCCACACAATTTTTCCCTCATCCCTCTATATGCTATCGTTCTTTTTATATCATCTAAATATGATCTTGGTCTTCCTCTTCTACTTTCTCCTAAGCTTTGTCTCCATTTTTTTTTTTTTTTTTTTTTTTAAGTGTTCGCACGTAGAGAGATGTTTACGTGCCGACGCGATATGGGGGCCGTGCACACGGGAATTTTTAGAGGTTTAATCCGCAATTAGAAAGTATTAAAACAATAGATTAAACACATTTTTAACTTAATTTTACGAGCAAATGATATTTACTTACCACTAGATTTTCGTGAAGAACGGGATAAACTTTCTAAATACACTTTTGATATTCGTTCGATTAAAAAATTTCAACGGAAATAAATGAAGTTATTTAGCATGAAAATTTGATTTATCACTTAATAGCTGTAAAAATACACGCATGAATGTGTCCCTTAATTGCTGAAAAGATTTTTCTATTGTAAATNATTTTTGAATACAAATGCGATAAGTATATATTATCATTTTACTTTTTTAAATATTACTTTATCTCTATGAAATTTTATTTAAATTCGCAAAAAGGAATAAAAATTATAATAAATTTACATCAAGAAAATAAAAAAAATCGAATAACAAACCTGAATTCCTAAAATGATGCTAATGTACCAAGGAGGTACATCATCGACACCATAATGAAGATTGGATTTAGAAGATGATTTGTCGTTTTCTTTCTTACTTATCTGAAACATTAATTATAAAATTAACAAAAAACTAAAAACAAATATACAAAATAGTAATAACACTAAAAAGCTAAAATGTTTGTTTTTTACAATGAAACATGAATAATGAGAAAATGACAAGTTTCTTATATGCAAAGAGAATGTTCTTATGCATATAAATTGATACAAATTATCAATAAAAGATGGCTTATTTTTTAGATTAGTGTAAGTTTAGTACTTTCACTATGATGACCGAGGTGATAGTCATCATCTTTCCTCTCTAGAGATCCTGATTCGATAGTCCAGCAACCTCAGAAATTTTCAGTTATGTCGGGCCTCTCCCTCATTACCCTGATGAGGGATCAGCCATGGTATGCCTAGCCAAACCATCATAAGCATGGAAAAAGGCCCTCTTAGTGTCGACTGGGAGAAAAGAGATTTTTTAAAATAATTTTTGTATGCAGGGTGGGTGAAAAGTAACTAAGCATTGAGAAACCGCTATAATTTTTGTAGTAGTAATGTAATCACGATAAAATTTATGTCTACAGCCACAGCAATTAATTACGTGGCATCGGTTATGTGGACAGTGACCGAAAGACACGCAGTGGCAAAAAAAAATGGCCGACCACGTCTGTCCAGATTGCTGCAGGTTATGACGTGTAGAAATCAGCGGTTGCAGTGCAGAGATAATGGCGTATGGCGAAGGGACGTCGTGCCACAATTCGTCCGGAAACAATCACGAATTGTCACTCGAAACTAACGACCCCCAGTTCGGTTGTGAACTTACCAAGTAGCAGTTGTCCATCCAAATCACGCTCCCCGATCGTTTCAGGAAGTCGGTGGATGGCACTGATGCCTAAATTGAATTATAAGGTATGCACGCGTATTTTAATTTAATAAGATATATATCAAATTATTTATCATCATCTTTGCCTTATAAATATAGAAATTATAGAGATATATCAATGCCTAGTTACTTTCCTCCCTCCCTATATTCTATTAAGCTATCAAAAATGTAATTTACATACTTCGAGGCATTCCGATGCTGCTAGAACATTTCGCTGCATTTCGTTGTGCTAAAAAAGAAAAATGGATATAAATGAAGACTATTTTGCATTTTATTAAACGAAAATTTAATTTTCTTTTAGACAAAAAATTCGTTCTCTGTTAAAATCATCATTATAGTTTGTGCACGACGTATTTTACGTTATAAAAACGTCCGTTATAACTTTATGCATAACGTACCGATATACGCATTAAAAAAGTTTCAGGTTAGAAGTTTATTTTATAAAATTTCAGACTAATCATATTTGATTTTTTACTGAAGTTACGCGTTGTCATCGTACGCACGGCCACATAAGAACGCGCTTGGTGTTTGTCGGACATATTGTTTTTGCAATCTCGCTTTTAGTTGTCTATTAATTATTTCATTGTTAATATGACTACATAATCTTTGATATCTTCAGAAGAAAACAAAGACCTTCAATGGCGTCCATGTTTGTTATATTTTTACAACATAACGGGCTTGGATGCGCATACGCCATCTAACTTTATTCGTTTATAATTCTAACGTCCGGTAAATATAACATAAAATACGTCGCGTCTATCACCATTCGTTCGTAATAAGATTAGGCTATTTGTTTATTGTAATGAATACTTATTTCACAATAAAAAAGTCAATAGCAGAATAACAAAATGGCAAATATAAAAGTGAATCTAAAAATCTAACAACGAATTGCGTAACTTTCCCTGCAAAAACATTTAAAACTGTGTGTGGCACCATCTGTTACGATACTTTATTTTTAAAACTTTTTATATTAATTATTATAAAATGGCAAAAAGTTTAATTTTGAGAGTAGAAGTGAGTTTTATATAAAAAAAAAATTATAAATGCTTTTTTAAGGAATAAAATCTCTGTTTTTAAACAACAAACTTCGCAAGGAAGTAACTACAGCTTATTCGAAAATTTATTTACGAATTATACCTCTGTCATATCCGAATTATTTGTCACAAATCGATAAAATGATCCTCCTTTCATCCTAACAACCAACTTTCGCTTTAACGAGGAATGGCGAAAAGATGCCTATTCAATGGCCACACAATTTTTCCCTCATCCCTCTATATGCTATCGTTCTTTTTATATCATCTAAATATGATCTTGGTCTTCCTCTTCTACTTTCTCCTAAGCTTTGTCTCCATTTTTTTTTTTTTTTTTTTTTTTTAAGTGTTCGCACGTAGAGAGATGTTTACGTGCCGACGCGATATGGGGGCCGTGCACACGGGAATTTTTAGAGGTTTAATCCGCAATTAGAAAGTATTAAAACAATAGATTAAACACATTTTTAACTTAATTTTACGAGCAAATGATATTTACTTACCACTAGATTTTCGTGAAGAACGGGATAAACTTTCTAAATACACTTTTGATATTCGTTCGATTAAAAAATTTCAACGGAAATAAATGAAGTTATTTAGCATGAAAATTTGATTTATCACTTAATAGCTGTAAAAATACACGCATGAATGTGTCCCTTAATTGCTGAAAAGATTTTTCTATTGTAAATTAGGAATATTTTTGCTTGAAATTATTGTCGTATCTAAAATTTTGTGAAAATATTTCAAATAAAATAAAAGAAACTTAAAATTTTTTTTTGTAAAATTTTGATTATATTCAAAATAATTTTTAAATGCAATTAAAATTTCTTTTAGTTTTATTTGTAGAGGAAAAAGTGGTATTATGGAACACTGCGGGTATTATGGAACCACCCCATTTCGAACTGATAATAAAAATGAACTATAGTGGATTGTGGCTGAACTGAACTAGGCAGACATCCATAGCAAGGGGAAAACCTGTTTCACTTCAGTTAAACGGTTGTCCGTATTGAATCAGCAAATTTGTTTTTTTTTTTTTTTCAAAATTCGAAAGTTTTGAATGCTAAGTGAATTTAATTATTTTTAATATATAAATCGTGTAGTTGTAGGTTCACTGGTGCACGAGACCGTTCCAGAGACTTAGGGGTACTTATTAATCTGTGTGATGTTCACGTTTTTTAAAATTTGGTCTTGACAGACATAAGTTAATTCAAGATGGCGATTTCATTGGTGCTTATAATATGAAAACCCAACTCCGCCGAACTCTCTATTTGCAAGCAGACATTCGTCCGGAGCAATTTGTGAAAAAGACACTAGGTAAAAAGCCAATTCTTCCTGAGAATATCGAAAAAGAGCTGCTGGAATATATATTGTTGATGGAGGTCATATTTTTCTATTATAAAAGCATTTTTTCGAAAAAATACATTGGAGTAAATGATTTTGTAATTATTTAACATTCTTTGTATTGATACTTTCCTGTTTGTTTTTGGATACATTAATGCATTTTTTGAAAATATACAGTAAAGTTCCATATTACCACCCGATTTTCTCTAAGCCTACTTTCTGACTTTTTGTACAAAAGCCTTCAAAAACCATACTTATAGTTACACTAGCGAAAAATCCAATTATGAAGATTTAGTTTAATAGTTACCAGTACTTTTCGCACAAAAAATGTGGATGTAGTTATGATACCTTGTTTACAATTCACTAAAATGAAAATAGGGTTCCATAATAACACCTTCTCCTCTATTGCATTTTTAAATTTATAACTTTTATTTTCTTTGGTAAATCAAAAATAATTATAATCACAAATAATAATAATCGTAATTTATTTTCAATTTTTATATATAGTTAAAATACAATTTACTAGAAGTGCGTTCTTATTAATTTTAAAAATACAAAATTAAAATAGATAAATGATTCTTAAGTGCCACATGTGTCTCACGTGGCACTTAATTGAGAATATTGGAAAACAGGAGAGGATTTGTGAAAATTTATCTACATGTAAATGTATCCTCCCTCAAAGGCTGATAACTCAGAAATGTAACGTAGTTCAATTTTTATTTTCCGGGCTCCTATATATAACAAAGGAAAAGTGTGGAGATCAGTCAAAAATGACCCCCAAGATTTTTACTCAACATTTTTGTACTCGTGGAATCTTTGAAACGTCGAAAAATGAAAAAAAATTCGGGGTTTATTCCTGTATTGTTATCAGGGGTACAATTTTGTTCACTTCTTTGAAGCTTAACTCCTGTGTTTTATGTCAAAAATCTCTGAAATCTTACAGGGGAGGGTTTGTTTATTAGGAAGATTGATGCTATTAAATTTTGATGGTTAAAGAGTGGGAAGATACAGGGATATGTCATATCTCGAGTAAAATGGGATTTAATGAAGATTTTACGCGTTATTAGCATTTATATTTTACGAAACTCATTTCTATCCTCAAAATTAATTGATTTATAAGAACCAAACGTCTTCCAACACTAGAGGAGTTATACTTCAACACTTAAAACAACCTTTCCAGCTCCAGTGATATTTGTTTACACCTCTGCAAACGTTTTCAACCTCATCGAGGTCTTCATCAGGCTACTTTACTTAGGAATTCGAACGCGTTTGGAACGGAACGTATACGATTCAAAATTTATAAACCGATTAAGAATACTCATGGAACGTTACGCACGTATAAAACAGTTTTAAATAAAAAATATCTAACAGAAGGCGCCACACTCAGTTGCCGGAAAAGTTAAGCAACTCGTAGCTGAAATTTTTTCCTTTATTATCTACACGTCTACATTACTGACATTAAGTGTAAATTAAGAATTTGCACTTAAAAGATAGTAAGCTAATAGCTATAAGCAAAGTCTCCTCAACATTCTTAAAACCATAGAGTAAATAAATATATACTTACTCTACGATTGTTGATTTCACAGTACTGTATATGTAAATTGTAATTAAGGATGGTTTGCATATCAGCATACAGTACGTGCTTCTATTTCAGGCCGAAAGGAATGACATAGGCTATACGTGTCGTGCATAATAAAACGACAATAGTATACTTGCATCAATTCTCCGGATACATATTGTTACGTATATGTTGAATTCGTTGCAGTCATACGACGATGTAAATTTCTAAACAAACTACGGTTTATATTTTCTGGTGTCCTTTAGCAATAGCATCTCACATGACTTACTTTGCAATTTGTCAGTGTCTTCTGGCATTTCAATGGTCAGTTAATGTGTCTGAGTTGATAAACTATATAATGCGTAATTTTTCAAATGCTCAATACACCTATTGTAAAATATGAAACACAGTACTAGCTACATATTCCCAGCGTTGCTCGGACTTTTGAGTGGGAGGGGATTGGTTGAGTTGGGAGATGGTGATAAAAACAGTGGTCTTAATAACTAAAATGCACATTTATCAACCTCAGTATTTACAATAATGAAACTGCAAAACACAACAAAATTGCTCCGGTTAAAGTTAGCAGATCAAATCTCTCTTCGGCGGCATCATCTACACATTAAGTTTTAATTTGATACCTGAACCGTATTTTTAGCCCGTTGTTTACTCAAACTAAGACGAATAAACTGAAATCCTTTTTCAATTGATATATATATATATAAACAATACAATACTAACGCCAAGAAATAATACAATTTTGCACGCACACATTCATTTGTTTTTTTTTTTTAATATATTTATAAATACTTTAAAGTTTAATCCAAAATTTGTTGCCTCATTTTACATGTTAATGTAAAAATCTGAGTCTATTTTGAGTGTATCGCATATTTTTCAGGCTACGGTTAACTTGTAAGCATGGTGTACAATTCAATGTACACGTACTGTACAGTACAAGTGAACGATGTTTTCACGCAACCACGAGAACAAAAACTTTATTGCAATGATGTGTTTCTCGCAATAAATTTGGCGATTTTGAAGTTATTCATTTATTTATCTATACTAATATTATAAAGAGGTAATGTTTGTATGTAAGTTTGGATGCAGCAGGTAATCTCCAAAACTACTCATCCGATTTCAAAAATTTTTTCACCAATATTTAGAATGGAACTTCAGGGTGGACATAGGCTGTATATTATTCCGTTAAACATGGGGGATGGACAGTTTTTTACGGTAAGCCTTACGGGGAAGGCTTACCGTAAAGAACTCTGCTTCTATTATACTATTTTAGATGCGGTTTTTTGCATTTTTGATTGCATTTTAATAGAGTACGTCAACAGAATGTACACTAAGAAGGGATTTTTCGATATTCCCCCCGGGGGGAGAGGGACAGGTTAAGGCTTACTGTGAAGAACTTCACTTCTATTATACTATTTTAGATGCAGTTTTTTTGCATTTTTGATTGCGTTTTAATAGGGTACATCAACAGAATGTACACTAAGAAAAAATTTTCGAAAAATTTTCCCCCACGGGGGAAGTGTTATACATTTATAATAGATACATTTTGAGCCACAACAAGGCGTGGCGGGGTCTGCTAGTTTTATAATAAAAGACATCACACAATAAAAATAAAAATTCAAAGTGACATGAAATATATTTATTGATAAACTCTTTCAACCGTTTAGAGGAAGAATAACAATCTACTCAAATAAGTACTTTGGCACTACAATGCTTTGAACTTTACATCTCATTCCTATAATATATTCTGAAAAGGTACAAGTGAAAATAAAGCATTTAATTTCTTACAATAATATTCGACACAAGAAAAAAAAACGTGTTTTTGAAAGACAAAATATGGCCGTTATTACGTAACTGTCTTTTATTATTATTATTATAATTTATCGTCGTTATTTTGCATCAGGATAAAACATTACACACGAACTTATATCCCTGAGATACAGGTCATTTTCACAAGGCAGCAGCATTACAAATCGGAGAAGTTGAAGAACAAAATATACAAATTTACCTTCTGAGATATAAAGTTTTTTGCTTGTTTAAATTAATTTACAATTGGATCGTGTTTTACATTCAACACAAAAGTTCTTTTTTTATTCGTTTTTGTTTTTTTCTAGTTTAGTCTTCTACGATTTTCACAAACGGAAAATCTAAACTAATCGTTATACTTGTTACAACAGAGTGCAAATTATTTACAAATCACATAAACAGTATTTGTGTGTATTTTGGCATAAACAAATATATCCAATAATACAATACAAAAAACTATTTGTGCTTATTCTTAAATATAAATAAATGCTATATATATTATATATATATTATTATCACAGTTCTAATAAAGCTAAATTAAAAAATATATGCATCATGTGAGATTTTTCTTTATGTATAAATTCAAAAAATGTAAACAAAAGTTTCCATTTTTTTCTTTTCTCTAATTTATTTCCTATTATTTTTCGTTTTAAAAATTTTTTAAAAAAAGATAATTCGGATAATGGAAAAGTGCGATTTTATTCGCTGAATAAAGAAATTTTTTTTTTTTTTTGTATATTTATACAAAAAAAAAAAGTTTATACAGTAAACTTTCGTTAATTTGAATTTAGTAGATTGCACTCCTTTCCACATGCGGGGTGGCCCAGATATCAGCTTACCAAAATGCATTTTTGTTAATCGTGATTCAGAAGCGAATTATTTACAAATCACATAAACAGTATTTGTGTGATTTGTAATTAATTTGAATAAAAAATTAAGTGCATTAATGATGTTAATTAAATAAATATGAGAGAATTTGGTTTAACCAAATGACAAGTTGACCTTCCCAGCCACATTTTATTGTACATCTTCCTCTTTTTGATCTGTAATGAAATCTTTTTGGAATGTCAATGATGTGTTTTTTTCTTACTTAAATAAAATTAAAATAATAAATGTCATATTACACTTTATTACACTTAATAATTCGGAATTTTTTCCTGAACCCTGGAAAATCAAATTAACAAAAATTTACTGTACATATGTACAATACATGTAATGAAAGTCTTTAAAAATTAATTACCTTTTACTCTAAATTTTGTTAAATTTGCTAAAATAATTGAATAAACAAAAAAATTCATTCTTTTATTCTTTGCTAGGATATTTTAAAACATTTTTAATTAAAAATATATTATTGTAAAAGTAAAAAATTAATTAAATTCAATCTATTTTTTATATATATATATATATATACACATATTTTGTAGATAAATATCACCACCACCATTTTGTGCTTCATTAACTGTTCATTAATTTTTTATAATATTTATTTTTAATAATCGAAAGAGGTACAAGTTAAGGCAACGGCATATAATTTAACTTGTAAAGGTTGATTAATATGAAAAGAATTAAGAAATTTTTATATTTTATATTGTGATAATGTTGAGATTAGAGTTTAATATTTTAAAAATTTTAAGTTAAATTTTATTAATTTTAGTGAAAGATAAATGTGAAAAGGACATTTTTTATATTTAAATTATCAAAATAAAGTGATTTTTACATAGTCTTGTACTCTGTAGGAAGTCTTATATTTAAATTTGAAGTAGGATAAACTGGATAAATTCATATATCTGGCATGTACCAAGAACTCCAATCTGGAACAATAGCAAACCAAATTCCATACTAGACTTCTATAAAATTTACCTACTAACGTCACAGAGTCAATTGGTGCATTAAACTGGATGTAAAATCTAAATGTAATATCATCCTACATTGCTGCAAGAGTATATTGTAGAGTGCATGCCAGGAGGTTGTATGTCAACTTTGAAAAATTTTACAGGAAAGCCAGAAGTCTGATACTACATAAAACCATAATAGAAGTTATAGAAACAAGGAGATTTTCATTGAAAAATCTCTTTGTTTCTATAACTACACTCTCTCATCAGTTAGACAAAAAGTGATATACAACCTTATGGCACAGACCAGATGACAATTGCCTTTGTATTTATAATATATATATTTTTAAATTTGTAAATATTTTTAATAATTGTTTTAAATTTAGTTATTCATTAATTTAAATTCATTATATATTATTCTCACAATGGATAAGAGAAATAAAGATCAGGAAATTTAATATTTCTTATAATAATTCTGTTTATACTTCAATAAAAGATAAAATTACTAATAATTTAATTAAATGCTGACTTTTATCAAGAGATCAATCCTTTTATTTGTTATATGATGCCTCTTAATATGTTTGAGGGGAAAGAAGGTTATTAGGTAAGAAAAAAATGGTATGTAAATATACAAGTTACAGGGAGAACAAATATAATTCAGTTAGTGACGAATAAAATAAAAAAATTCACACAATTTTTTTGATTTAAAACTTTAATTATGAATGCTGACAATTTAGTATAAAGTCCACAAAATGAATCTATTAAATGCCTAATTGAAGCCAGTAAATATTAATTTCTATAAGTTGCTGATTGGAGTAATTAAAAAGATTTAAACTTTGTTCTTTTGATCTGATTAGTAATTTGTAGTAGTGTACAACATAAAAATGTATTAAACTATCTTCATACCAAATTACCAGAATGAATCAAACACAATCAAGAACCTTTATAGTCCATAAGAATGTATCAAGAATATAAATAAGGAAACAGTTTATATAGAATGAAATTAAAAGTAATTCCACTACAACTATGCTGAGTAATTTCTTGATCACTATTACCACAAAGGAAGATGGCCGGATGGTTGAGCAGTTAAGGTAGAAGCCTACTGCTCCAGGAAGCCAATCAAATCTGGACAAATTGATAGACCTCGGAAATTTTTCAAGGAGTGGTCTGTCTGGCTAGGTTGAGCCACCACCCTCACCACCTGGGCTTGGTAAAAAAAGAACTCTTAGTGTCCACAGAGTAGAAAGTGTTAAAAATAATAAAAATACCTTCAAAAGAAATTTATGTGAATGGAATAATTTTAGTTTGTCTTTGTTCAAAATGAACCTTTACAGTAAATTGAACTAATCAATTAAGTATTAACAAATATTGGTAGCTACACATCTTAAACATATACAAATTTGGCACATTAGGTAGAGTGCAAAAAAATATCTATACCAGAGGTGTACCTTATACAGTTTGCTATCTATGGACAAAGACAGATTCGGTTTTTCCACTGATCATTTTGGCAGGAATTGATTTTATCGATAATGTTCTTCAAATGGAGCAAAGATAATAGAATATACCAGACAGACATGATTAGAATTATTTTGTGGACTGGATGAAAATGCAAAAGTTTAAGATATAAAAAGATATTAATTTTATTACTGTGCAACAATTATTACAATAATGAGAATACTTTTGTTTGCAAAAACAAAAAAGAAATCTCAAATATACATTTTAATTGCAGAGGTATTTGCATTACCACCTGTCAAAACAATTGTACTTATGTATGACATTTTAACATTTGCTAACTACCAGCATGTAGTTTATTAGTTATTTATGATTAAAGTTTTAAATCAAAAAATTATAACAGACTTTTTGTTTTCCCCGAATATTCCCTTCCATGATATTCATTGTCTTGAAAATATATTTTCATATACTCTATAAAAATAACTACCTTCCTTTCTCTCTATTTTTTTTTGGATGTTTAAACTTTCTCCAAAGAAGATATGCATGTTGATATGAAGTTATTTTCAAACAGATATGGTTATTTTCAATTACAGTTATATTAATAGTTTTCCAGGTATTAAATTACGAAAGAAAGTCAAACAAGTTTAAATTTGAGCATTTTCAAAATTTTAATCTTGTTATCTTCAAGAATATAGCTGTTAAAAAGCAACACAAACTTGCATTTTGTAACTTTTTAACATATAAAATATGTTAAATTGTCAGAAGATGCAAGCCCGTGTGCTAGTTAAAAGTATCCTCTTACATATAGAACTTTTGTAAAATTCTAGCTAATTGTTTCAATTTAAAACATTATTATTTAATAGTTATGTTCTCAAAGTTGATTGGCTGCTTCTGGCAGCTTATCTTTGGCATGCCACTCTGGGGGGCCCAAGATCAAGATTGAATCCAATATAAAACTGCCTAGATTTTCTACAAGTGCTGCCAATCTCCGAGACTTTAACCTAAGAAGAGGTGGCTGCCCCCTCAGGATTATGCATTTTGCATACCCAGTTAAAGTGGCTGCAACTGACCCATGGATGTCTGGGTAAATCCCTGCATGACAGACCTATTAGGCCTTGGTGCTAGGTGACTTCCTACCACACATGCTATATTCCCAAAGATATTGATATTAATATCAATGAAACTACTTAAACTTGAACATGTTTCACTGCTGCTTTTCTAATTTGACAAATGAAAAAAAATAGACTACATATTATGTGATTATCAGATTACATTAAATTAATCTTTTACTGTGTTCTAATTTCTCTCTCTCAATACAATTATTAACAACATTTCTATAATTTAAAGAAAATTTGTTATATTTTTAAAGTTGGTTTATAAAACTTTATGAAAGGAGAAAGGCTTCATATGCATTTCAAGATATAGCTAATTCTTATATACTGTATATACTTTTACAATGGTAGATAATATAAAAATTTCTGATTATCTATCCATAAAATTGTTTAATTTTTTATAATGTAAAAAATTCAATAAATAATATTTAATTTTTCACAATTATTTTAATATAAAATATCTGTTTAAGTGTTTAGAATAATCATAAATTGAAATTTCCTTTATATACAAACTAAATAATATTTACTAATTACAGATAATCTTTGCAAATACAAACTGAAAGAATACACGAATCAAATAGCAGATTTTTACATACTATAATCTGATTGTCTTATATAATTTTATATTATGATTGGCCTCCAATATCAACTGCAATATTTACTTTCTCCATCCAGAATAATTATTTGTCAATTCAGAATTAAATTTATCATAAAAATCATCATTAACAATTAAAATCTCACAATGAATGTATTAAAACAAGACAGACATTAACTAAAAATACCAAATTTTCATTTATATAAAGGCATTAATGATTTTGAAATAATCTTTGGTATAATATATCATTAATATATTAATGATATAATAAATTCATATGTATTATTTTATATAAGAAAAAGTATCATTTATACATGATATTTTTATATGATTAAACTGTATTGCTTATTTAATTTTCTAGTATTTTATACGAAATATGGATTTTAATTGTTGAAGAGGAAAATCATTATTAATTAACTGGATTATATTTTAAATATTGCAAATAAACTGTTTATTGTTTGCTATTTAAAACATTATATTAGCACTTCAATCTATGATTTTTATGTATACAGTGTCCAAAAAGTATGGAATTGTAGAATAAATATATTTTCAAACTACATACAGTATGTACTTTCAAAGAATATGCTTAGCAAGTTTTCCTTCAATCTCCAGGCACCTTTGCTGATGATGTATTGTATTTCCTTGCATTCAACGGAGTATACAGGATCATCTGTCAAGATGTTAATTCCTATCTATTCGAAAAATGTACTTCATTTCTAAAGACATCTGGAGAGTGAAGGTAAATATGTTGAGCATATTCATTAAACATAAGTGCTCCATAGTATTTAGAAATTAATTTCTACAGTTCCATATCTTGTATAATGTGTATTTTAAAAACTAAGATTAAAATTCAAATTTTCAAGCTCAGTTTACAATCTAAACTTATACTTTTGCACAATATTTAATCAAGATTGGAGTAAGATGATCATCAGATAGCAAGCAAACTTTTAATGTTTAAATTTTTCTCAAGTTTCATCATTTAAAAATATTTTTGATATTAGTTATACAAAGATTATGGAATTAATTTCAGATATTTAATTTTCTTACAATATTCTTTAAGTTTGTATATACAAGTAATTACTAAACTAACATATAATTTCTTAAAAACTTTAAAAATTTAGTAATATATAATTATTTTTTTATTAATAGTTAAATATTTCTGATTATAGATAATAATGTTAGTTAAAGTTCTTTATATAGTGTATCTAAAAAATTACTGTGTAGTGAGAAATTCATATCTCTCATAGAATCTGGTCTGCTACATCTTGAGACCTCACTTCTCCAGATTTTTATCTCTGAGGGCACTGAAGGGATGAGCATACAAAAAAATTCACATACACTGGAGGAACTGAAGACAGCAATTACCTAACACATCGAACAGATCACTCCTGCCAACCTCAAAATGTGTTCAATAATATGCAGCATTATGTGCAGACATATCTTCAGGCTTCTGGGGAATACTTCCAGCAATTTTTATAGGAGAAACTGCATCACTTTTATCAAAACTTTCCTTAAACCTTTTTCACTACACAGTAACTTTTTGGATATACTGTATTTAATAAGTGCATTTTAGAAACTGTTAAAGCCAAAACAAATGTAATCTTAATTTGCAAATCTTTTCAAATCTATTTCAACTCTCTGTATCAATTTAGTATATTATATTATTCCTAATGTATTTTAAAAACTAAGATAAAAATTCAAATTTTCAAGCTCAGTTTACAATCTAAACTTATAAATAATATAAGTAAACAACGCCTTTTTTAACAGTCCAGCAAAAACATTTAATTCTCTAATAACGTTTTCGACCGTTTGCTAGACTGTTAAAAAAAAAGGCGTTGTTTACTTATATTATTTATTTGATTTAGTTCCAGTAAGATTTTTTGATTAATCTAAACTTATACTTTCTATTCAGTTAATATTTTTTATTTTAAATATAAATATAATTTACCTCTGACAAGAATGTTATTTTGTTAGTGAAAAATGTGAATAAATTACAAAATTGTTATTTATTACAAGAAGTAATTATTACTAAAACAATGAATTGTATTATTAATTATGGAAATCTATAAAAATTCAAAGTTCTACAGATTAAACTCACACCAGTGTTATTTATATACATATCTCAATAGGAATCATATACACATCTTGGACATGTAAGAGACATCAAATTATGATTCTGAAGTTGTTTGGAAAGCTAAATTAAGGGGTTACCTCTCCATTATATTAATTTCTCTTAACTTTATTTGAAAATCTAAGAATATATCATCATAACTACAATCGAAAGGTAGTTTAATATTTACCAACTGTAGTTTTTTCAACGTAATTTGTTCATTGCTAATTCGCTGAAACAATTTGGAAGTTTATTCTAATGAAAACTATTCTAAATTTGTAAGTCTATATTGAATCAAAAGCAAAAATATGAATATATAAAAAAATGAATTGAATAAGAAAGTAGAAATATGTAATAATCATTATAAAACTTTGCAGAAAATTAATTGTTTCTGCATTATTAGAGCAATGGCCAATACATTAAGAAAGACTTTAAAATCCTATGACACGCTAATGATTTTCATTTATAAAAATCTATTAAAATAACTAAAATCTTTTTATATATATATTTCTAAATTAAAGAAAAATCTGCTGATGCATTTTTCCTTTTAAACGATCTTTAAAAATCAAATAATTACATTGCATATTTAGCACAATACAAACACATTTAAGTGAGCAGCACATAAAATAAATGCCTAGTTCATTGTGTCCTCATATAAGTTAAAAATATTAATATTTTATCTTCTCTACTATATCATATATATATATTTATATAAATACATATTATCACAATAGTCAGCCATACAGTCACATTTACGATCGATCTGATGTCATCATGACAAAAGGCATTTTTTTTCTATATTTTTTTAAACATTTTTGTATAAATATATACAGCACATTAATAGGAGGATACATTTTCTCAAAATGCATTTCAAATTATGACTTGACTATCACATGTACACTCTTCTTGTGCTTATCATTACAAAGAAATCAATTGCTTATGATATATTTTGTTGTAACTACAGACACCAGTGAAAATAAGTTACGTCTGTAATTATCTGAACTCTACATTTTATTTACATACAAAATATATTTCAATATGAACAAAATTGGCAACAATTTATCTAGATATTTTTTACTTTTTTAAAAATAATTATTTTATCAGAAAATATGGCTTTAACATCAACAATCTATATTCTTTTTTTAATATAGTATTTATTACTATTATTATTAATTATTTTTTTTTAAATTAACAATGTAAGAAAATTAATAATTATTTTTAATAACTAACAGTTCCCCAAATAAAAATAACAATAAAAATTATTATATAAATTGTATTTAGTTCTGGAAAAAATAGAAGAAAGAATGAGTTTTGTATAATGTTAAGAACACAATTTATCAAATTATTTCACAAATTGTTCATGATTTTGGTTGTTAAATTTGTTCAGGAAACAACAAAAATAAAATTAACTGATTATACACCAACAGACATAAAATTTTAATGTCAATAAGCAGCAGCAGCCCTATTTATAAACTATAATCTGAGTATTTTGTATTTTAAGTGATTTATCAAACAAAAACTAATTAATAAATTTAATATTAAACTGTATTATAAGTCAATATTTCAGCAATTTTGTATTTAAGAAAATTATTTTAATAATTCTCAGTAAGGGAAAAATAAATTTTTTCACTTTAGTTATTACTTGAAATCTATAAATCAGATTTAAACTGCTTTCTTATTGATGCCACTGAAAAATAGCAAATTAAATAAATATCATTCAGACAAAATTAATTTAGTTTATAATAAACTAAAAAGTAAAGACATCAAAAGGTAAAAAAAAACAACAACATTAAATAAACAAAAAGATATCAAAATGTATATTATTCCTTATAGTTACTATTATAAATAAAATGACTTAACAAAAATAGTAATTAAATGGAATATATTGAATTCTTTGTACTACGGTTAAATGCTTTATGTATTTTACTTAAGAGTATTTTTAACATTGCTAATGTTTATCTATCAATATATAACTCAAAAAGTTCTTTTCTTTGAGAATGCATTCATAGAATCATTATTAGACTTGACCATAAACAAAAACAACAATTATTTAAATTACAATTTGGTATAAAATAAAATGGCATTTCTGAGTATTTTAAACAGAATCAAAAGTTCATTTTCAAAATGTCATTTTATAAAAAAAAAATAGGAAATAAAATAAAAACTCTTGTATATATATACACATAATTAATCTATTATATGAATAGTTCCAGAATATATTATTAACAGTTTTAACTACAGTCCCATCAGTGATCATAACTTTAATGGAAAATGCAACGAGCATTGAAATAAAATCTATAATACGTCATGCATGATTGTCACCTTATTCAATGCAACAAGGAATACATAAAGTTTCTAAAACAGGCAAAAATTTCATCGTTATAAAAATAACTGAAATAAAAACTGTGTTAAATATTTACGATATGTAATGACAAAAGTACCCTGTTTAAAATACTGAGTACTGAGACCATCACATTCTTGTATTATCATCGTTGCGACCAAGTAAGAAATAGGTGAGCATTTCTCCTTTCCCTTTTACTTTAATATATCCTCTACGTTCTAAAGGATATCCACGAGCTTGGAGTATTGTATAAATATCATGTGTTACCTATAAATATATAAATATTTTTTAAATTAGATTTCAAACATTTATTATATAATAAATTAACAAGTAATTAAATCTGCAAACTGTTTTGAACATTTAATAATTAAAAAACTGTATTTAGATATAATTAATAGTTTTTCTGATTGTTTTTGGAAAATTACTTGTATTTTGCCTGATTCTCCAGTACTGTCCATTCGACTTGCAACATTTACTGCATTTCCCCAGATATCATATTGAGGTTTCTTGGCTCCAATGACACCTGCAACAACTGGTCCCACATTTAAACCTATAAATAAAATTGTTTTGTGAATTTCTAACACACATTTCACAACTAAAATCATTAACTATTATGCAACAAAAACTATATGCATTTATTAGTTTTAATAAATCTAATAATAAATATCATCAACAAAAATAATTAAATACAATTAAATTTTTCCAGTTAACAAATACAATCATTATGGTAAAAAAATGTTTCCTTTTGATAAATTAATAAACATTATTAAAATTTAAATAATCCAAACATTTTANGATTTAATATATACCATCCTCTGGATAGAAAGGAAAATATCATTGTAGAATTTAATGACTTTTTTCTTATTTGTGTAATGTTAATTTTTATGAATTATTAATTAAATAATATAATTATTTTTATATTCCATACAGAATTAAGTTTTTTCAACTGAAAAAATTACCATAAGGTAGCACAAAAATTTTACATAAGGGATGATCAATAAATGACCAGTCAATGAACACAACACTTTAAAGATAATTTATATAGCAATGCAGCATGGCAGAATTAAAGAGGAATAAATAAACAGCAGCAAAGTCAATTAGCAACATGGCCTGTAATTCTACAACAGAATGAAAGTGTATAAAGTAGAGCAATCTGCTGAAACCATATTGGTTCCTAATCTCAGAAGGGAATGGACCTATAGAAATTCATTGGTGTATGACAAACACGTATGAACAACACACAATTAAGCCTAGCCAAAGTTGCATAGCTTTCACTATGAAGGCTGAAACGTAGACAATTTCAATCTGACAATGGGTACTATCCATACTTCACACTGCAGCTGTCCCACAACATTTTTTAAACATGAATCACAATCCTCTTGGGATAATGGGATAAATGTCAAAACAGATACACTGATTATGTATAAAATAAAATACACTCATTACATTTTATTGTTGTTGGTTGGTTATTTATTGATCACCCCTTACACAGAATTGCAAGCAAGCTATTTTATTATAGTCTCTTTCAGAATTATTTATTGTAATACTGGAACATATTTCTACTGCCTTAAACTTAAAAATTATGCTTGCATTGTAAAATAACTCATTCTTTACTTACACCAACTTACAAAATTCATTCAGATTATTTCCATTTCCAATATCAAACAAATTGTGCTTAAGGATTCTATTTAAAGCTCAATTTTTTTCTCTTTTATTTCTTTTCATTTTGTTAATATAAAATGCAGTGAATTCTCAATTATATAGTTAATTCCTTTTATATAAGTTGAAAATCCATGTAATTCATATAGTGCTCAAATGTGATATGTTTTTATGCAGGGTATTCATTTAAACCATCTATCCAGCAATGCATGAGTGCATACTAGATAGATGTGATGTATGCTTGTTCCAACACTAAAATAACTGAAGAGAATAAATTTAAGGCAATTTAACATAGCATAAATATAATCTCCAATGGTAAAAGATAAAGACAACATTGCAGAAACTGATACAAAAAAGTGAGTTTTATTTTGTTAGAGAACATTTATGTCAAAATGATCATCTTCAATGGCAATGCAAAGATGTAGATTGTCAAGTATGGTATATAGATTGCACTTAATTCTGGTGCCATTATTTCACAGGCCTCTCATATGAATCTCTCTAGTTCACCATATGATAATATTACTATATGATGATATTACATCACCATACTATATGATGATATTACATCATATTACATACCCTGCAACATCACTGTTGCAGGGTATGTAATATCATCATATAGTAATGATTTTAGGTGACTCCATAAAAAAATCCAAAGGGGTCAAATCTGGAAAATGTTTAGCCATGGAACAGGACTGTTGTCCTAACCAGTAGTTTCCAAACTGCTCTACAAGACACTGATGCACATCTGTCTGGGAATGAAGTGGTATGCCACCTTGCTAATACCAAACCAGCTATAGTTGTGCCAATGACAATTCATCAAGCCATTCATCCACTGACATGTTTAGGATGTTCAAGTATTGGTCACTATTTAGACTGTTCTCAATATAGTACGAAAAAACTGCTCAACCCAAGATCCACAACAGACTTTTAGGGTAAAAAAACACTTCATGCTTTATATGTCACATGCATCATGGAGCATGCTCTGCCCAGTAGTGAACATTCTGACACTTATACACCACATTCCAAAAAACAGTGTTTTGTCAGTCCATAAAATGTACTGACAGTCATAGTTCATCATATTATAAATTTAACATGTTGCAGCATTCTCTGCATATCATACCAGTTACAGATAACAATGGAATGGGTGCATGTCATGGCAGCAACATAATATCCAGTATATTTGGGTCTGCTGTATTCCATAATCTAACCTAACCAATACTGGAAAAAAGTAGACATCCAGTATATTCATTTCAAAGAGTAATTATAGAATAGCTTCTGCTTATGAAAGAAAGCTGTGATACTTTTTATTTTCTTAAGTTTTGTCGTTTATTATATATTTCAAAGTAGCATTCAACAGATGGCATTGTTAGTCATAAGTCAAAATATCACAATCACATATCTATGAATCTAGGTACCTCAATTTACAGTAAATCTGTTTGAAATTTGATATAAATTGGTAATGAAGACTTTCCATCACGTGTTGTGTGCACAAACATTGTGCTGTCTGTTCATTTTATGAACAGAAATAAAACATAAAACAGACTATTAGTAGAACTTATATTAATATCTATTTGTAATCTTTGTAGTTGTCTCTACTTGTTTTGAGATTTCATCCTATTTTTTGATCAAATTACATGCAACATAAATGTTTTAATTCCATCTTAAGAATTCGAATCAAATTTTAGATTGTAAAACTTGTTTTATATGGAAAATTCATCCATGCAACTTTTGTTCAATTGGAATTTATTGCTTTAAATGTAACTAGAGAGAGAAAATTTACATACCAACTCGAATTTTAAAATTGTTAAAGGAATGTTTATTCACATATTCTAGTTGTTCTTTCATTCTAAGTGCAAATTCAGCCATATTTACAACATGAATGTGACTTGCTATATCAGCAGGTGTTGCTGTGAGACCAGATGCAGCCATATATGTATATCCTGTAGTTTTGATCTTTTCTATGCACTTGAATTGTTCTTCTTGTAAAATCTATAATAATATTAATAATAATAATTTAAAATTTTATAAGTGCTCATTAATAAATTAAGAATTAACAATAATATCATTAATAATTTATAATTAATTTATACTTTTGTATTAAAGTATAAGAATTTTTTTTAAGAGTAAACACCCTCACTTAGTATTCCACCCTATGAATAATAAGTGAGCTCATATTTTTCAATGTCTTTGTGAATTTCTCCAGGCCCACAATGGGATAGCCAGATAGTGAGGGTCAAAGCCTAAAACAACCATGACACACCACCCTAAAAAATTTCTAGGGCTTTTCAATATCTGCCCAGATTTGCTTGAGTCTCCCAAAACAGTAGACTGACACCTTAATTGCCTTGACCATCTTGCTGGCAGTATAAGAGATTAAAACATCTCACAACTACTATAACCAATTTAAGACATGATTACATAATGTATTTTAACTAAATGCAACATAATCTTTCCTCAGAAACAGTAATAAACAAATATTTAAACTTAGAAAATTGATTTTAAAAAATCTCAAAAGGGACAATATATAAAAAGTGTCCTGAAATTGTCCCTTTCATGCACATCAAAAATTTAGTCTCATAGCAGACTCTCTAATGTCCTCAGAACCATCTCATAGCAGACTTTTTATAACTTTTCTAAGTTTAAACTTATTTGTCCCAGCAACTTTTTTTTAAATCAAATATAAACATGTTTATAATGTATATGATATAATTGTAAATTACAATTTAATTAAAACAGAATTATAAATAAATATGTAATAATCAAAAGTTAAATTAGAAACAAATCATCCATTTTAATCTTGCCTCTATTAACAATCTTTGTATATATATATAAATTTGAATATTTGATATTTAATTTTTTATATTAAGTCACATATAATCCTAATATTCATAATAAAATTTATTTATAATCAAAAAAAATTTCAGACAAAAAACTTTAAAGGAATGTTATTGAAGAAAGGAAACTGGATTATAATAATTCAATTCAATTATTATTAAAGAATTACATACAATAATTATTCACATTTACAAATGATGGCTTCAAATATATATATTTTTTTCTCTGGTTAGAATGAGTTCAAAGCACATCATAATAGTATAGAGTGGAGAAAGAAAAAAATTTCTCCTTTTTGTTTTGATTTGTAAATAATTTAAATAATAAAATGTGTTTTATTATTCTGCAATTAAATACATTCTGATTTATCTTAAGCCTTTGTTCTCTGATTTTTCTATTATGATTTTTTAATCAATAAATAAAATTAATGTACAGTCGACCCCCCCTATAATTACGGTCCCAATAATTACGATTCCTATAAAACTGCGAAAAAATTGTGACGATATCCGTAAAAAACAGTAAAAAACCCCCTATAATTACGTTAAACGTCATCGGGCAGCCGAACTACTTTCCCGCCGTCCGTAGCGCCACGCTACGGAAAGATTTCTATCGTCTGGACAGTATTATATAAATTATATATAAATTAGGTACTGTACATATAATTATATATTAATT